CTTCTCGCTCCACTTCGCCTCGAGATTGTTAGCAACGAGGCCGTCGGGATGCTCTCTGCGCCGCCGAGCACGCCGACGCTCTGCAGGCGTCTCCAGCGCCTCAGGCGTTCTCGGATTGCAGTGGCATGCCTCCTGCGGGTCGGAGCGACGACGCGCGGCGAAGCCAGCGTCGGCGCACGCGGGCTCCGCCGCCCCAATGCAGCAGCGGTGGCCCGCGCGGGCGCGCGACGGCTGACCCCGCGTCGCGCCTCCTGAGTCGCGACCCACGCCGCGGCTTCACCGACGGCTCGTCCCCAGGGTAATCCCCCCAAACGACGCAGCCGCTGAGGGGGCACCTGCCCGCAGCGATCATCATGGCCAGCCAGGCTTGGGAGCTGGCTGCCTGCAGCGGCTGCTACAGCGGCCCTTCGGCATGGTCGCGACAGCCAGGCCGTCGACGGGAGGGGCCAGCGTGGGCCATGCCGCGTGCCCTCGCGCGCCTTCAGCGCAGGGCCGACAGCGTCGCCAGCAGCTCGCGCGCGCTGATGCGCGCGCGCGCCCCTCGCGAGGCCACGCCATGCTCGGGGCCGCTTCCCACCGCCGCGCGAAGGGGTCCAAGCTCGACCGCGGCCTGCTCCTGAGCAGCAGGGCAGGCCCCGATCGATGCGGTGTCCAAGCCGCCCCATTCGCCAAGGCCGAAGCAGCGCAGGACGAGGCGCCTCGACTCTTCCGTGTCGTGGCAACCAGCGTTGCCCTCGAATGTCCCGCACTGGTTCCAAATCTCGCAACGCTCCCCACCGTGCGCAAGCTCCCTGATCGTCGCGGGCCGCGCAAGAGCCCCCTCCGCCTGGAGCTCGTGCTGCGAAGCCCATGCCGCGGGATGCGCGCTCGAGCTGCTGCCGAGGACGAGGCACCTGGCGTCCGCCGCGCCCTCTGAGTTCGAGACCTTCGTGGCGGCGGCAGTGTGCTTGACATCGAGCTTCCTCGACCGGTCCCTCCCTCTCCTCGCAGCCTGGAAGGCGTCCAGGCTCCTCGCTGGCAGCAAAGCCAAGGTATCTGTCGTCGTACAGCACAACGTGAAAACAGAAGGAGTTGGCCTGCCAGCGGTCTCTCGCCCTACTCGAGGCCAGGGCGAGCTCGCGCACGGCGGGGAGCTCGGCGGCGGACCTGCAGCACGCGAGCGCGGGGAACGGGGCAGGCCGCTCTCCGTTGGCGCCAGCCGGCGTCCTCCCAGCCGAGGTCGATCGTCAAGCCCATTGCCGCGATGACCTCCAGGCGGGGGCCCCCGTCGGCACCGCTGCGCCGCGCGGTGAGGCGCAGCTGTCCACTGAGCCAGTAGAGCCGCGGCCTGCGGCACGGAACGAAGGCGGGCGAGCAGAACAGGTGGGGGACAACCTTCGGCCGCCTGGCGATCGCCTGGACGTTGGCCTCCGACAAGCCCGCGACGGTGTCGAGCAGAGTGTGCAGCCTCGCTCCAAAAGCCAGCCGTAGGAGGTCGATGATCCACGGGACCTCGAGGAGCAGCGAGCTCCTGCGCTCTCGAGGCCCGCCCCCGCCCGCGTCGAGGCGCGCGAGGTTCTGGCGCGGGCCGCCAGCGCCCGCGACGCGCATGCTGACGACCTGCCGAAGGCGGCGAGCGCGTCCTCAGCGCAGTGCTCGCCCACGCGCACAACGTCGCCCCAATCGACCCGCGGGTCCATCTGCGCGCCGAGCAGCCGAGCGCCGACTCCCAGGTGATCTGCCACGTCATGGGCCGCCGAGGCCGTTCGGGACACCGCCGGGCCCACGTGGGCCTCAAGCCTCAAGTTCGCCGACGCGCAGACTCCCCCACCGAACTCCGAGGCGCCGGAGACGGCGGTCATCCCGTCCACGTGGCTGCGCAGAGGGGCGGTAGTCACGGGCAGCAGCACCAGGTTGAATATCAGCTCCCCCACCATCTGAGCGTCGTAGCGGGCAACCGCGCGCGCCCCCGTGAGCGCCCAGACGGGGCTCAGCAAGCCAAACAACGGGCGCCTGAACTCGAAGGCCTGCACAAGCGCGCCGAGGACCGCCACTCGGCACGGCCTCCAGTCCCAGCGTCGCGAGGCAGAGGCCCGCTGCTGCCGAGGCCCTCCGCCGCGGCGCCGCCAGCCGCTTGCTCTCGCTGTCGACGTCCGCGTCCCTGCGCCAAGTCCGCAGCCGGTGCAAGTGCGCTTCCCCGGCCGAGTGCGCCACGCCAGCGCGGCGGCAAGCCGCGCGGGCACATTGCGGGAGGTCAGCCTCTGCCCTCACCTGCTGGCGGGCGCGCGCCTCCGCGACAGTTTCTGGCGTGTCAAAATCGTCGATGTAGACGTGCCCCTTACCAGGCCTCGCACCCGCTGCCCGCCTCGACGATAGGGCTGGCCTCGCCCTTCCGCCACTCGGGCCTGGGCGGCAGGCTAGCCCCCGACGGTGGCCGCAGGCGCCGCAGCCTGCGGTGGATATGCTGGTAGACGGGCGCGACCAATATCCAGCCCAACGCGATGACCGTCGGCACGAGGTACACCTGGCGCTTGAGGCGGACGAACAGGGCGCCGGGGAGTGGCATGCCCACCATCCTGCAGGGATGCCAGGTCGCAGGAGCCCTCAACACGAAGAAAGAGGCCCCCTTCAGGTCGCCGCCCACCGCCAGCAGCAGCTCCCCCTCGCGGAGGTGGAGCGAGACCCAACTCATCGACCTGGCCAGCTCCGCCGCCTCGCCCGCGCGTAGCTCCAGCAAGGCGCTGCCTGACCCCATGGCTAACATGAGCCGGGTGGCGCGGGTGACCCCAGGGCTTGGCGCGCCTCTCTTCTCGACGGCGAACGGACCGCTGAGGCGCAGCTCGCCTGCGCCCGAATGAACCTGGCCTCGGGCACCGCCGTGTATATCCTAAGATCGACGAGATGGACAACCACAGCTCGCGCCACGCAGGCTCGGACTCGACGCTGACCCTTGTCCGCAGCAAGGGGTCGGGCCCGCCCTCCTTGGGCAGGGGGGCTTCGCTCGGGATCGAAAGCCAATCCGCAAAATCGGGCCCCCCGAAGTCCAGCGCCTCCAGCGTCGTTGCGCACTCGGCCTTGGGCGGCCTTGGCTTGAGCTCCGTGATTACTGCGTCGCGCCCGCGTAGTCGTTCTCTGCTTCAGCTAAGACCTCGCCCGCGAAAGGAACCACGATCTTCCCGAACGGGTCCCCCGCGAAGCTCGTCGCACCCTCCTGCAAGAACGCGAGGGGCCGCTGCCGCCCCTGTGACAGGCGTCGGTGGAGCTTCCATGCCTCCCTGCAGCGGCCGCCGTGCAGGTAGTCGAGGCCGACCACCGCCAGGATATGCCGAGCCTCCTCTATGGCCTGACGCGCGACAGGGCGACTCCGCGGGGCAAGCCCGCTCTTCTTGCTGTCTGACCAGACCCTAGCAGCCGACGCGTCGATCTGGGGCAGCGGCGGAAGGTCGCGATCGCGCCCGCCACTCCCGACAAGCGTGGTCACGCGCGCCGCAGACTGCTTGCAGCAAGTGCCCGGGCTGCCAGTGGTCCTCCGCGAGCTGCGCCAATTGGGCCGCGAAGTCGACCTCTGAAACCGTCGCCCCTCAGCGGACACCAAGGGGGGCCCTCCAGCTCCAGGCGCTCGGCGGCAGCGCCTCGCTCGTGGCCGCCGTCTCGAGGTGCTCGCCAGCCCTCGCTGCTGTTCCCCGGTTGGAGGCGCTCCAGCTACGAAGCGGCCCTTGGCTCCTTCCGCCTCCAACCAGGGGTAGTCTCGCGACAGCAGCAGCGGCCCGCTGCCACAGGCTGAGGACCGCGCCGCGACCTCCTCCGAAGCGCCCGCCCAGCGAGCAGCGTCGCGCGGCACCGCGCCTCGCCCCCCCCCCCCCGCGGGGCGGCCAGGGCAGCGGCGACCTCCTTCACTGGCGCGTGGCGCGCGTGGCCCTCAGCAAGCGCTGGCTGGAGGCATTCGCCGGCTCGCCCGTGCTCCTCGGCCGCTTGGCCCTCGCCTCCTTGCAGCTCAGCTGCGGCGCAGGCGCCCGACCTTCCAGTTGAACTTCCCGCTGGTCGAGCGGCCGCGTCGCCTTCGCCGCGCCCCGCAGCGCCGCGGGCCGCGGGGGCGGGCGGCCGCGCGGCTCCCGCGCCGCGGCGGAGGGCTCCCCTCCCGCAAGGCCTGCGGGAAGCGCCAGCGGCATGCGCGCCTCCTCCTGGCCATGGCCCGAGCCAGGCTTCCGCAGCTCCGCCGAGAGCTCCTCCAGCCTCACTTCGTCCAGATCTATGCTGCAGAGCATCTCTCTCTCTCTCTCTCTCTCTCTCTCTCTCTCTCTCTCTCTCTCTCTCTCTCTCTCTCTCTCTCTCTCTCTCTCTCTCCTCTCTCTCTCTCTCTCTCTCTCTCTCTCTCTCTCTCTCTCTCTTTTTTTTTTTTTTTTTTTTTTTTTTTTTTTTTTTTTTTTTTTTTTCTCTCTCTCTCTCTCTCTCTCTCTCTCTCTCTCTCTCTCTCTCTCTCTCTCTCTCTCTCTCTCTCTCTCTCTCTCTCTCTCTCTCTCTCGCCGTTCCTGAGCGTCGTCGGTTGGCCGCGTGCGGGGATCAGCTCGAGCCGCTCCGCCGCGCCCCAATGACCGACGCCGTCCGCGACCTGGGCCGCCCGAAGGCACTGCGTCGGCAGGTCGGCGCCCTGCGGCGTCTCGCCCTGGAGCCGACAGCCGCCTGCGTGTGAGCATCTGCATTTCGAGGTAGGGCGTGGCGCTGGTCCGCTGCGCTGGGTCCTGCGGCAATCGCGCGGTGAGCAAGTGCCGCAGCGCGGTCGGCGGTGTCGGAACGACCAACATGTCCCCTGCGAGGTTGCCGAGGTGCGACCCCATCGCGCCCAGGGCGAGCTCCGACAACTTGCCTGGCAACTCCGTCGCCAGCTTCCTGCAGCGAGCCCGCCCCGTCGCCAGCCTGCGCGGCAGCCCCGAGCCGTCCGCGCATGGGGGCAGATTGCCGACTGCCGAGCCCCCTGTGCTGCCCGCCGCCTGCGGGACAGAAGACTTCGGGACTGCGAACAGCGCCGACGCGAGCTCCTGCGTGCTGCCGCTGCATGCCTCGCCCTCGGCGCCACGCGCGGGCGGGGGGCCCTCCGAAGGTCCCGCGGGCGCAGCCGCCTTCGCCGCCCCCGACGCCATCTCGGACAGGGCGCCTGCGAGGCTGCGCTTCGGCGGCTCGGCGCCCGCGGCAGGACCGCCTGCAGCTGCATCTCCGCGTCGCGTCCCGCGGGCTCCGCCATCTCGGCGAGTCGCTCCATCGCCTCCACCAGCATGCGCCGCGGGGTCTCCTGGCGCGTGCGATGGTCCGACGGGGGCTTTCCAGCGTCGGCCAGGGCGTCCTGGCCCCTGAGCTCGTCGAAAGGCCCCGCAGGCGGCGCCACCCGAACCTTCGGGCGACTCGCGCGGCGGGGCGCGCGAGACCGCCCGCCGCCGCGCGCCCGCGGGCTGAAAAGGCGTTCGGGCCAGACCGCCTCCGCCTTCAGCGCCAGACCCCCGTCGAAGGCCACCTCGATCTTCTCCCGATCCAGGAAGGTGGCCGCCGTCGCGCGCGCCGACTCATCGCGCCGGCGAGGAGGCTGGGCGTCGCAGGGCAAACCCTTGCAGATGTGCAAGAGGAACGGCCCCCCGATCGCGCCAGGCGCTCCAGCGTGCGTCGCCCGCCAGTCCCAGTAGGTGTCGCTGCTGAACAGGAGGCGCCCCGCCACGATCGGCTCTGGCCCCATGCGCCACGCGCATCGCCAGTCAGAGGAGGGTACACTGCTCGCCGCCGCTCACGTCGAGGCCAACGCTCCGATGCACCTCCCGTGACGCGATCTGCTTGGGCTCGTCCGTGACGGGCGCCTCCTCGACCAGCGACCATGCATATTCCTCCTCGTGGCGGGCCCCCACCTCGCTCCAGAGGCCGCCCGGGCCGCCCTCGCGTCCCGCGGCAACGGCAGCCCCGGCAGTGGGCAACCTGTCGAGCAGCCGCCGTGGGCTCCTGCCCCGCCCAGCGCGCGGCGGTGCCGCGCGATGCCGCAGCAGACGGCCCTCCCGCGCACCTCGGGCAGCGGGCGCCCCGAGGCGCGGCGAGGGGGGGGGCCCCTCTGGCTCGTGGCCGGGAGACCTCTGCTGCCGGCCAAATCACGTCTCACGGGGACACGGTATGACCATGCAGGTTTGTATACGGGCATGCAGGTGCATATGTATCTATGCATACAACAATATAGGAGATTACTACTAATATATAGTGCGTATATATACATATATATATATATATGTATATGCATATGTAAATATTTCATACTGTTACATACAACTATCTATAACCATTTACATGCTAGAACAACGCGCGCTTCGCGTGCACCCAGGTTCTAGCAGGCTCTAGCTGTAGCTCAAAGTGTTCGGCATCGGACGACATGCACGGCCATGCGGGGCGTGCCCCTCGGGGAGCTCCTCCTGCGGGCCCGGAGAGATCGGCTTGACTCAGCGCCCCCCCGCCCATGTCGGCACGCCCCTCGCAGGGATCGCGCCCCGCAGGGGGCGCCACCCAAGTCACCGGAGACATGGGTCGCGCAATGGCACGCCCCTCGCGCGGATCGTGCCGTGCAGGTAACTGCATTTGCGGCGCAAGGGGGGAACCTCATGGCGTCGCCCCGCTCACTTCGGCACGCCTCTCACCTGGATCGTGGCCCGCAGAATGTTCCACGGACGGCCCCAGAGACAAGGTTCGCACCCCGCCCTCCGCGCCTTCTGCGGCATGCATCTCACGCGGGTCGTGGCCCACGGGGATCTTCACCTCTGGCCCCAAAGGCAAGGCTCTCACTGCGCCCCCCCCCCGGCCAGTGCTGCGCGCCCAATCGCGGGGATCGTGCCCACAAAGAGCACCAACTAAAGGCCCAGAGACAGGGTTCATGCAGATATTTCCCGGCCATGTCGGCGCACCTGTCATGCAAATCATGCCCTCAAAGGGGCTCCACCTATGGCGCCAACGGGCAACTTCGCATGGCCCGCCCATTTCGGAGCGTGCCTTGCGCGGGTCGTGCCGGGAGGAAGCCCGCCCGCGGCTTCAATGGGCGTGTTCGCGCGGCCCCTCGCGCCAATCGTGCCCCGCAAATAATTCAGCGCACCAGTGCGCGCGTGCTCCGCCACGCCCATCTTTCCGCATTGCCCCGCGGCGCGCAGTGCAGGAAGAGAGACGCGCGCCCTGCGCTGCACATGACTGCGTCAGGGTGGGTCCGTCGCCGAACCAAGCGCTTGCTTTTGTAAGTCTGTATGGCCTTCGGCCCATGCCGCAACAAGTACTGTGCCCGAGATTTGGGTCCGAGGCTTCTTGGGTGTACTGCGGGGGTCTCTTGGCATGCTTCTCGGGCGCCTCGTGGAATGAGTTTTGAAGCTTCTTGTGGCCTCATGTGGGCCCTGTGGGGGGCCTCTTGGGGCCTCTTTTGGGACCCTTAGGGGTTTCTTGGGTCGCTTCTGCGGCCGCGGGGGCCCACTTGTGGCGGAAAGCTCGACATGTTAATTGGAATTCTCTCCTTTGGACTCCTCTTGGGGCCCTCTTGGGCCGTCCTGTGCGCCTCCTGGGTCGTCTTGGAGCCTCCTTGGGCGCATCTCGGACCGTCTTGGAAGCTGTCAAAAACGAGTTTGGCCTCTTTGGGCCTTGGCGGGGGTCGTATCGGGCAATTCGCGGGCCCGTCTGGCCCGTCTTGACGGGCCGTGGCCGTCTTGCGGTTGGGGCGCCCAAAGACGCCGCGCAAATGCGACGCCACCAGAGAGATCACGTGGAACCTTGAGGAATAATGGGTTCCATGAGGAAGCCCGGTGGTTCGCGGGCTCCCTGAACCCTGTTGCGGCCTGGGGGGGCCCGAAAAACCCGCCATCGTTGCGCGCGGGCCCCTCCCACCACCCCGCGCGGTGGTCGCGCAGCGGGATGCTGGCGGATGCGGCGCAGCTGCGACGCAGCCACATAATCATGATAACCCACGAAGGAGCCTGATGATCGAACGCTCAAAGTATCCTGGCGCGGCCTGGGGGGGCCCGAGAAACCCGTGCATTGCTTCTTAGGCAAACCCGCGTCCTTCCCTTGCCGAGGTCGCGAAGCGGCCGATGCGCGGCGCGCGGCCGCCGCGCGCAACGTATAACCAATCGCACAACGGTGCGCAATGTCCTACTCGTGAAACGAGGCCCCGCCACCAATAATCGCGGAACTAGAAGCTTACATTTTCTCTGTTGCGGAGGTCGCGTAGCGACCGATGCGCGGAGCGGCCCCCGCGCGCGGCATATTGCCAGTCGCGCCGCTTGCAATGCCCATTGCAATGCCCTTGTCGCGGAGCGAGACCCCGCCACCCTTAATCGCGCAGTGTAATTTAACCTGGGATGCAACGCAAGTGCGCTTCCACCTCCTGGGGTGGCGGCGTGGGGGGCGGAAGCGAAGCGGGGGCTGACTCTCGGGCGCAGCCGAGGCATGCGTGGGGGGGCTGGGGCACGAACGCCGCGAGCGCGCACAGGAACATCCCACCCTCCACGATCCTTTTGAAGGTTGAAGGGTTGGGGGGGGTCGAGATGCGCGCGCGCGTTCCTTGCCAGCATTCTCCCTCTCTTTCTCTCTGGCTCTCTCGCATGCGCAGGCGCTTCGTGCTCCAAGCTGAATCTCACCACAGCGGCGGTGGAAACACTCGCATGCAATTCTGGTTCTCAATTCGTCACAGCCCTCAACACACGTCTTGGTCCATAAAGTGGTCCCCGCCTAAATATGACGCCAATGGCCACCGACGCACGTGGTGCTGGTCGTGACTCTGGCGCGCCCATCGCGCATCTAGTGCCCCGTGGGGGGGGGGCCCGAAATGCGGCCCCAACGAGCACGGTCGCACGCGGTACCAACCAGTCCCTACTCCGGCACACTTGTCACAAACTTCGTGGCCCAAAGGGGGGGGTCCGTTTGCAGAGCCAATGGGCGCGGTCGGATGCAACGCGGCTTACAACAACTCGGCACGCCCTCGCGCACGCCGTGCCACTCGAGGGGCTCCAACGGAGGCGCCGCTGGGCGGGTTTGTGGTGTAATCGCATGCGGTATCGGTCCTCACTTCGGTTTAGGTATCGCACATTTCGTGCCACGAAGGAGGCCCCAACCACGGCGCAAATGATCAGGGTCGCAAGCAGTTCCAAACCTCAGTTCGGCACATCCCTCGCACATTTCGTGCCCCATGAGGAGCCAAAATTGTGGTTCCAATGGGCACGGTGGCATGCGATGCGCATCGGCGCTGCTTTCGGCACACCCTTCGCACATGTTCTACTCATAGCGGGCTCCAACTACAGCCCCAGTGGGCACAATCGCATGCTGTACCACTGTTAACTTCGGCACACTATTCACGCACGAAGTGCTCCATGGTGGTTGCAATTACGGCGCCAGTGGACACAATCGGATGCGGCTACGTCCTCCATTTCGGCACACCTCCCACTACTCTCGTTTACGGCGCCAGCCCCGCAAGCCTTCCTGGGTTATGGCGCAACTGAACCACGGTCGCATACGGTACCAGCCCTGCTGTCAGTATACCGTTCTCTATCTCACACACACACACTCACGCACTTTCTTCGTGACCCCAGTGCGCCTCAACTAGCGCCGATGGGCTCGGTCGCAGGCAATGCAAATGCTCACGTCGGCACACCCCTCACGAGTTGAGTGCCTAATAATTGCTGCAATTGCGGCGCCACTCGGCACAATCGGATGCGGTGACGGCCTTCGTTTCGGCACACTTCTCCCGAAGCTCGTGCCGTGCACGTGGCTCCATTTACGGCGCCAGTCCCGCAAAGGACTCCTGCTAGGACGCCAATTGCCGCGGTCGCGTGAGGTACTTGCTTCCACTCCACCACACAACACTTCGAAAATTCCGGACCCCATCAACGTGTCCAACTAGAACACCAACATACATACGGTCGCTCGCGGCTGTCACGACCTCGGCATGTACGTCACACTTGCCTGCGAGAGGGGGTCCCAATTTCAGCGAACATGGGCACGGCCGCATGGCCAATGCTAGGCACCCAACCGCACAACAAACTACACACCAGGGGGAATTCGAGTGCTTCTCTAGGGGAGCGACTATGACATAAACATGCAACAACTCGGAGGTCCGCGCGGATTTCTCGAATCCGCGCTGGACGCCACTCCTCGGCGCGCGGAGCGCGCCAGGGGCGGCGCCAGAGGCGCCGCCAGGGGGGTCCAACGCCGATCCAAGAACTCCGCGCGGACCTCAGAGTTTTTATGTTTCTGTCAGTTCCCATATTCTCACAGTGGTATCCTGGTGGCTCCTCGTATTGCAGCCACGCTTCCACCTTGTCGCAGATGATGTCGTAGGTCTGCAGGAAGCCGTCGGAGAGGCGCAGCATTCCATTCGAGAGACGCGTATCGTACGACGAAACGGATCCGAGCTGACCTCTACGGGGCCCGGCAGCGGGGAGAAGGGAGCAGGGGTGCGTGGACCGCGCTGCTGACCGCACAAGGGCAGTTTGAGTTTCTCAATAAGCGTGGGGGGGTAGCCCCCCGACCCCCCACGGGGGTACCCCCCCGACGGGGGTCGATGTGGGGCTGTCGGCGGGGGTGAAGCCCCCCCGACGCTTATCAAGAAACCCGGAGTAATCCTCGAACGTTTTGTTGTTCCCATCGTGCTGAAATATCACATCCAAAAAACCATGTCGAGCACCCAGAAACGTGTCAAAGCAGTGACTGCCCGACGCGTGAACTCGTTCTAGTTTGAATACTCTCCAGGTGCCCGGAATTCTCTTAATGGTGAAGGTGAATGTAGGTCGGGACATCAAAAGTCGGATGCTGCTGGTGCCCTTTGTCAGCCAACCGCGCGGACGGGGCAGCCAACATTCAGCGGCCCATTTTGCCCGCTGTCCTCGTGAAGCTCCTGCCCCTCTCCTGGCCCCCCACCCTCCTTTTGCCGTTCCTCCGACGCGCGCGTGCACTTCGTCCAACTTTTGGAAGGGATTCTTGCGACAACACGCGCGCAAGGGCGTTCGAACAAATCCGACATGCCGCGCGGTAAAGGTCCGTTTGGTAACAAGATACGTATGCTATGGCTGAGAAGCCCTCATTCGGCATATAAAAAGGTTTCAGGGCATTCGATTTCGAAATCGCTACGACATTCAAGACTTTATAATTTATTGTTGTACACATATTATACTTATCGTTACTGTCGCTGTTATTAACAATGAATTTCCATTCCTATTTTCCAAACATGTATATTCATATGTGTGTGTATATATACACATGTATAGCAGATGCTGCGGCAAACTTGTGACTGTTGATAACCGAACACGCGCGCGTAATATTTGCTGAAGATGAGAGGGGAACCGGTACCGATTTGGCTGGGATGAAGGGAGCGCGTATTTCAGATGGACGATGGGGCAACATCGAATGTACACTCCAATGCGAAGAGGAAGGCGGTTAGATCAGGGGTGTAGATCCTAATGCTCTTTTAAACAAGGGAGTTCACCAGCGCTTGCAGTGAACTGTAAATTCCATTGCTCGCGCAATCATCCCACCGACCCACCCGCAATTTGTTTTGCAAAACCCATGCGACGGCGACTGCGATGAGTGTTTGGCGTTGGCTGCTGCATCTCTGCGGCCGCGCTAGCCTTCGCATGCTCGCGCGCGCAGCGGCCACCTAGTGCGGCAGACCGCCGCGGCCGCGGTGGCGTTGACTGGTGGGCACTTCCAGCGGGCACTTCAGTGCGAATCGGTGGCTTGGGCGGGCGCGGTATCATGGCGACGCCGACAACGGTAGACACGATGATGCGAGTAGCGATGATGGTGACGATGGTGGCGATGACGACAACAAGGCCAATGACGGCGCCGATGTTGACCACGATCGCCGGTTATAAAAGTTTTGGACCGAGTTCTACATGCGCGTGCGGCCGACGCGCGCGAGTGGCCCGCGTGGCCTTACTTGACACGGATTGTACCCCCCAACGCGCGCGCAAGGGCGTTCGGAGGAGTTCGACACGCGGCGCGAAGAGGCCCGTGTGGTATAATGTAATGAACAGGTTGAGCAACTTGTGGTCTCCTTATACATTTACAAGGGCACGCGGCAACGTTTGTTAAGAACTAACGTTGCAGTACCATCCTTATTTTGTATCATCAATCTGTTTTCGAGATACACTTCTTTGTTCATTTGGGGGAGACATGGCATACGCGCGCGACGATGCGCGCGTGCGCACTCCGTCCCAGCTTTTGCAAAAGGATTCTTTAAACCAAACGGAAAATGTTTGATACACGAATGTACGTGCATTATATGTTTGGCAGAAGATGACCGGGGGAACCCTTACTGGCCTGCCTGGGACGGTATGGATTCATATTTGGGATGGGCGATAGGGCAGAATCACATGCAAATTGCACTACGACAAAGTGACCCGCTAAGGGTGGAAGGGGGCGCATAGATCGTAATACTCTTGTAGAAAGAAGAATATATGTTGTGCAATCCCTGTTGTGCAATTTGGGCGGCGACGGGAAGGGCGGCGACGGCGGCCACATAGCCGCCAGACCGAAGACACGGCCCGGTTCCTTAAAACAGAAGTGAGGACCCCGACGTGCAAACACTGCTTGGGCAATATTATATGTATAGATATGTGTGAGAGAACGTCTACTCCTGCATTTGCATGGTCGCGACTGCATCTTCCACGTGCGCACATTCTCGCGTTTTTCTGCAAACGACGGCCCCCATCCAATCCACCCACCTGATACGCCAAATGGAAATTCGACCAACCGTGTCCCGGCTTAGCGATTCGCGACGGTGTTGTCATCTCGCCGCTGGAGGAACAAGTATGTGCCCGCTCCTGTAGAAGCAATCAGGAATTGCCGAAGGAGGTTGGAGGCGTAGACGCTGCACGCCTTATCTGCCATTGTGATGCCTCTTCGTGCTCAGCTCTGCCCAAGTGCCGCACCTAATCGGGTCGGTGGAAAATACTATGTCCCAAGATCAACCAACATCGAATCGGAACATCAGATCGAACCATAATGTCAGTCGGATCGGGCTGCATCGACGCGGAATCGAAATTGAATCGGACCAGCTGCGCCACTACGCACAACAACTACGAGTCAACATCGGGCCGCATCGGAACGTCGGAATCGAATGGGATCGAGCTGGCCAGAGCCAATATATAATCGGACCTATCGGATCGAAATGGACCCTGTGTCCTGGTAGGATGGAGAAGGGCAGGGGGAGGGAAGAGGCAAGGGAACAAGGGATTATGATGAGACAGCTGCTGCCAAACCCGTGGGGGACTGGCTGCCCAGAGGGGTGATAGACGTTCTAGCGGGCGCTAAGAGCGGCTTGGTATGTATCGGTGCCAGGAAGTGGCAACACAAAAGGGACCTCAATCCGCGCTGTCGCGGACTGTTGTTGCATTTCCGCAGCTGCCAACGCTTGACATGCCCTGCCGTGGCATGCGTAAGCGGCAATCAACCGCCAGGCGCGACACACCAAATTTCTTTGCAATCATATGCCATCTATTCGAAGCTGAATGGAAGGTATATCCAAGATCTGCTGGTCAAGCTCGGAGCTGCTGCTGCCTCATTGTCCCTGTCTACTGACTCGTGAGTCGCTGTTGAAACCAGCGCCACCTACTGCTGGGAGGGAAGGTACTTGATGATAGTATGTTTGCTGTTTTCATCTCCCTGCTGGACCGTCGCCAGTGAACTCTGCCGTCACTGGGTCCAACACCCACTGCTTGAGTGGCTCCAGCGACTCCCCCTGCACCTGCCAGACCTTGTAAAGAGAGGTGGGGGAACAAGTTCGGGGTGATTGTGGAAGAGCCCAGGTCGCTATCTCAGTCCAGGCCCAACGCATCGACGTACTCTTGGCCCCACTTTTCGTATGCAAAAGTGACCATGGCATGCAGATCGGGGCTCTCCTCATGACGAAGCTCAGGACAGCAGCGGTGCACACATATGCTGGTCCCTGGCCGTTCGGGCCTTGTACACACCTCTGTGGATCGCCTTCCCTTATAGAGGCACTCAGGAAACCCCGCATGAGTAGACACAGGTCCAAGGGTGTCCAGCCCTTCTCCCATATTTTCTGGATTTTCGTCTTCCCCTCCACTTCCATAGTTTTCAGACATTTTCATGGGGCTCGACGCTTGTTTGTACCTGTGATATTTGTTCCCAACCCTTCTTGGTTGGGTATTCGTTTTGAATAGAGCACCGCGGTCGCGTCTTCTCCTCCGACCGCCTCCTCCCGCCTCCTGCCCTCTCTCCGCCGTCGCTGAGGGGCTGCGATCTGCGAAACTGTCGCCGCTTTCGAGGGTTGCTGGTGGGTCCAGCAGAGTGAGGCACCGCGCAGATCTGAGGTAGACCTCGCCGTCCCTGGGGGGCTGCGATCTGCGAAGCGTCGCCACTTTCGAGGGCTGCTGGTGGGTCCAGCGGAGTGAGGCACCACGCACATCTGAAGTAGACCTCGCCGTCCCTGGGGGGCTGCGATCTGCGAAACCGTCGCCACTTTCGAGGGCTGCTGGTGGGTCCAGCAGAGTGAGGCACCGCACAGATCTGAGGTAGATCTCGCCGTCCCTGGGGGGCTGCGATCTGCGAAACTGTCGCCACTTTCGAGGGTTGCTGGTTGGTCCAGCGGAGTGAGGCGCCGCGCACATCTGAGGTAGACCTCGCCGTCCCTGCGGGGCTGCGATCTGCGAAACCGTCGCCACTTTCGAGGGCTGCTGGTGGGTCCAGCGGAGTGAGACACCGCGCAGATCTGCGGTAGACCTCGCCGTCCCTGGGGGGCTGCGATCTGCGAAACTGTCGCCGCTTTCGAGGGCTGCTGGTGGGTCCAGCAGGAGTGAGGCACCGCGCAGATCTGAGGTGGACCTCGCCGTCCCTGCGGGGCTGCGATCTGCGAAACCGTCGCCACTTTCGCGGGCTGCTGGTGGGTCCAGCGGAGTGAAGCCCGGCGCAGATCTGAGCGGGACCTCGCCGTCCTTTGGGGGCTGCGATCTGCGAAACCGTCGCCACTTTCGAGGGCTGCTGGTGGGTCCAGCGGAGTGAAGCACGGCGCAGATCTGAGGTAGACCTCGCCGTCCCTGCGGGGCTGCGATCTGCGAAGCTGTCGCCACTTTTGAAGGCTGCTGGCGGGTCCAGCGGAGTGAGGCACCGCGCAGATCTGAGCCGGACCTCGCCATCCCTGGGGGGCTGCGAGCCTCGCGAATGCCGCTCGCAGAATGATATGCGCTCCTGTCACGTCATCACCTCTGTATGACGTGTCCCAGGCTACTCGTGCCCCGCATTGCGCAAGGGTTGGGTACATTGCCAGGGTAGTTTTCCGTCCCGACCTGGCCGCAACCCATCTGTCCCTCCGCAGACCGCCGTCCTGGCGTGAACCCTTCAGCCCGAAAACTCGATACAGTATGGGCCCGACCACAAGAAACCTTCCACAAGAAACCCAACCCTGAGACCCTAGCCTTCCATGGCAAAACCATCAAAACCTAAGAAACCCAGGGCACCCTGGAGAGGCAAGCAGGGTGTTTCTTGGCATGGGTCTCCACTGTAGTATGTCGTGGCACGCAGTCAATCGACAAATCGACGGCGCGCCCGAAGGGGAAGTGAGAATGGGCGGGCCCTCTCAGAGGGCTCGGAAGTCCCGCTGCCTTCTGAGAGAAGTTGTCAGAGCTGTTCCCGAAGACACAGAACACTTCTCAGAAGGCGCGAGGGCTTCTGAGAAGTCCCGCCGCCTTCTGAGAAGATGCTCCTTCCTCGCTCGCCGTCGAAAAAGGAGTCAAAGGGAGAAGCTCAAGTTCAGAAGCTCGCGGCGTAGCTGTGCGTGGTTCTGCATACTTTCGGCCTCGGATGTGGCTTTCAGAGGCCCCCCCAGCGTGACCCCCCCCCCCAATGGCCACATGGGGCACAGCATGGCCCCAACATGGGGGAGGGAGGAGGAGGATGAGGAGGAGGAGGAGGAGGATGAGGAGGAGGGGGAGGAGGAGGAGGAGGAGGAGGAGGAGGAGGAGGAGGAGGAGGAGCGAGGAAGAGGGGGAACAATACAAGTACGTAACACTGTCTGATCAGAGATTTCAGTGCCAATTCCCTCCGATGACGCCCCCAACCCTGCGGGCCCAACGACCTGTGAACGAATGCGACCAACAATAATTCACATCGGAAATTGGGCGCGATGTGCTCGTGCCTCCCAGGAGCAGTGGATCTTTGGGCGTCCCAAAGCGGTGCGGTGTCAGACAGTGCAGTGACCTCGAAATCTCCAAACGCCTCACCGCAAAGTCCCTCTCCGCACCGTTTGGGACCCTGGAGGCCCCAGTCGCCCAAGACATCCTCGCAGAACGACCCGAGTCCCAAAACCATGCGATCATCTCAAATCCCCACTGACTCACCACGCTAGAAGAATAGACATCATAAACATAAATGTTTGAAAGTCCGCGCGGATTTCTCGGGTCGCCGCTGGACCGCCCCCCTGACGCGCGGAGCGCGCCAAAGGTGGCGCCTCCAGGGGACCCCGGCTCAGAATGAGGAACTCCGCAAGGAGCTCCGACAATTGATGTTTACAGTGGAGGCCCGACCACAAGAAACCTTCCACAAGAAACCCAACACTGTGACCCCAGGACGTCCATAGATTTTTGGCGTGGGAACGTCGCGCTTTCCATCGTAAAACCATGGAAACCCAAGAAACCCAGAGCACCCTGGAGGCGAGCAGGGTGTTTCTTGGCATGGGCCCCCACTCTATGCTTATGTAACTTTTGCTTGTTCGGCGCACGGCGTGGCCGCCGCACCGCTTGGAGACAAACACGTACTCTGGGTTTCTCAATAAGCGTTGGGGGGTACCCCCCCGACGGGGGTCAACCTCGCCTCGTCGTCGCGGAACGCCTTCGGCGCGCGATGGCTCCCCGCGACGGGGGTCGATGTGAGGCTGTCGGCGGGGGTGACGCCCCCCCGACGCTTATCAAGAGACTCGGAGTACCAATGCCGCTGCTCCGCGGACTTCCCGGGGTGCGCTGTGGCCAGAATCTCGAGGAGAGCCCGGCCGTGGCGACAAGGGCTCCCCAGGACGAGCAGCGGTATCGTTGCAGATGTCACGGCGCTTGACACTCTAACCGTCCGATCATGGACTTTACGACTTGTTTTTTGATGTTCAATCTGTGTTCAAGATGTTTCAAACATGTTCCTGTACACGCTCAAAACTTGTTCTACTCCTACGAATCATTGGGCAACACACCTCCTCTCCAGCGATCGTCTTTCACAGCGGTATCGGTATCTTTTCCTCCTCCCACCCCTGTGGCCACCTTCGCGTCTGGTTCACTTATGCCACTGGGACCCGACGGCAGTGGCCCTGCGTGTAGGCTAGGCCTAAGCTCTCCTTCATGCCCGAGCTCCTGCCCATGCACCGCTTGGTGTATGGCTTGTCAGTCAGTCAGTCACCCCTGTGACCCAAGGTTGCGGCCACGTCAGACATCTGCGCGCAGCAATCACCGCAACGTCCCAACAGCCCCCGGGCCCACGGCGAGCGCGCGCGCCCGAGCCGGCTGGCCTCCGAGGCCCTCTCTGCGATATC